CGGCGCACACTCCAAGTCTTTCTCATGGCCTCAGCCTACCCACCTCTTTTTTGACTTGACTTAGAAGACTATGGCCAAATTCCTTTCTCTCCACTTCAAAATTCCTGTTTCTGTTTCAAAAGAGTCCCTCCTCTCTGCCTTCATCCAGAATCCTCTCACCTTCTTGAGGACTTCATTCCATCAGTTCAGCCCCTCCCTTACATTTTCACGAGCCCTGGAGCAGTGGTTACAGCACTCGACTGTCAACCAAGAGGTCAGAGGTTCAAATCCACCAGCTGCTCCACGGGAGAAAGATGTGGCAGTCTGCTTCCATAAAGATTTACAGCCTTGGAAACCTATGGGGCAGTTCTGCTCTATCGTATTGGGTCACTATAAGTCGGAATTGACTCAACAGCAACAGGTCTTGTTTTGTTTTGTTTTCGATTTATTTCTAGCTTAGGATTCCCTAGGTGGTACAAATGGTTAAGTGCGCCACTACTAGCCTGAAAGTTGGTGGTTCAAACCCACCCAGAGGTGCCTCAGAAGATAGACCTGGTGATCTGCTTCCAAAAGATCACAGCCTTGAAAACCCTATGAAGCAGTTCTACTCTGCACACAGTGATTCCCCTATATGTCAGAATCAACTCGACAGCAGTCGGTTTTTACATTTTTCAATCTCTCTTCCCCTTAATCGATTCTTCTCCTTAGCTTATAAGGCAGGCTCAAGTCTTCCTATACTAAAACCATTACTTGCCTTCTACTTTCCCATTCCTTTGATACATCATACCCTCTCTCCTTCTCCTTTACTACCCAATTTATTGGAAGGAAGACTTCCTCACTGCTTTCCATTTTTCAACACCGTCCCCCTCACTCTTCAACCCCTTACAGCCTGGCTGACATTTGTACCCCCCTCAAAGATAACCAAGAAAAGCCAGGAGTCAAATCTGATGGGCCTTCCTTGGCGGCCCTCACCATGGGGTGGCGCTGTTATGATTGGGGGTGGCTCCCCTGGCTGTTCCTTACTTCCATGACACTAACTGTTCTCCTCTACATCCACCATTTTTCTCCATCTACCCGTTGTTTACTATTGTTCTTATTCTCTTCTTTCTTTTCACCTCCCACATCTAGACATTCCCCAAGCATCCTACCCTGGACCCTTGCTTCTTTTCTCTCCATTTTCTTTACTGGCCATTCCCGGGACATCAAAATTCCTCCTAAGTAGGTGACTTACCAATCTCTCGTTGTAGCTCTGACCTCTCTGCGACGCCCTATGCCTGTACTCTCCTCCCTTCGTTTGGACAAACCTGTCACGTCCCAAATGAAATGTTTCTATTCTCTCCTGGTCATCCTCCTGTGCACCTTCTTTCTGACAATGACCCAACCATTCTCTCAGCTGAGCCTGACTTCTGACTTGCCCGCTCCTTTTCCCCTATTTCCTATCAGTGTTCAAGTGTCTTAGATTATGCCTCCACCCCCTGTCTTGGGCCTGACCCCTCCTCTGCACTCCCACTGCCTCATTTTGCCTTACCCCTAATTTAACAACAGGGACTATCTGGTCTCCCTACTGCCAGGCTCTTTTCATTTTAATACGTCCAACACAATGCTACAAGAGAATCGCCCAAAGCACAGTTCTGATCACATCAGCCTTCCTCCTCCTCCTCGGATCCTCACTACTTACTGAATGAAATACACACTCTTCAGCTTGGCACACAAGTTGCTCCGTGGCCTTGGCAGAACCTCTCCTTCTTGCCTTATCTCCCATTACATCTCTTGGCATTCCCTGTGCTCCAGCCAAAGTGAACTGTTCTTTGTTCCCTGTGCATGCATACACTTTCCCACCACCACGCCTTTGCTATGCTGTTCCTCCTCCAAACATGCCCTTCCTACCCTTTCAGCCCAAATGCCACCTGATAAATCTCAGCTCAAGTGCTAGCTCTTCTGTGAAACCTTCCCTGATTGTTCCATGTGAACTCCCACAGCATGGCAGGAATACAGCTTTTCCACCACTTACCATTTCCCACCATGTATACATTTGAGCACATGCCCCCACTCTCCTCCTAGGCCATGAACTTCCTGTGGGCAGGAAATTAGCCTCCTTATTCTTTGAATCTCCACCTCTCCCAATATCCTCCAACTCTAATCCAAAGGTATACAGTCCCTAGACAGTTAGGCAACTAACAAACACTTGTAAATAACCCAAAGGGTTAACTTGGATTTTAGTGCTTGAAATTCTCTCAATTTTAGCAACGACTACTTTTTTCTTGCAGGATAAAAGTCTTATCTTCCCAATGGTACCATAGCTTATTTTTTTTGGCCTCATAGGTCAATCTGCAAATGTCTTTTACTCCCAAGTCTTCTGAAAAATATACTTCTCCAAGAGACCCGGTAACGAAAAAGAAAAGCTTTAATGCTGCTTTAAGTGAAGGAAAGGCATCCACACAAAACAAATGGTTGCTGCAGGCTACAGCAAAGGTACAACCACTTACCAGACAGAATTACAGGATTCAAGCTGTGTCACTAACCTTACCAGTCCAGTCTTTGGAAAAGCCAAGCATTACGTTTAAAAAATTACCAAATTTACATGAGAAAGAAAGTCATTAATTTACAAATCATCAATTATGCTGTTGTATAACTCCCGTCTCTAAACATAGTTTATATACCTTGGTAATTCCTAATATTCTTAAACTTTTCTTTTAAGATATTTACATCTTTGGATTTTATGACTTTTTTTTTTTTTAAAAAGGCAAAACTTCTCAGAATGTTTTAAAAATTCCCGAAGTACTTTTTCTCAGAAATAGATTTGGCAGAACAAGAGTAAAGAACTAAGGTTCAAACTTCATTTTTTATAAATCTATCCCTAAATCTTGGATGCAATCCAACAACCTCACATTAAAATTTTAAAAGGCCTGCCTTGAAAGACCCGGGGAAATTTACTTTGTGTTGACAGCTGCCAGAGCACCTCGTCCATAGATCGTCATAAATTAAGAAAAGATACATGTCAAGGAAAAAAGCATAGCTGGATAGCCCTGGTTTTATTATTATTATTTTCAATACAGCAACAATATCATGCTACCTTTGCCAAAAACAAAAACAAAACAAAATTCTGAAAAAGAAAGAAAGAAACCTCGGATGTCACCGTTCTGTGTGTTTACTTGTATAGCCTTGACCACTGAAGGAAGGCTTTTCAAAGAGGACCGGGGCAGCCAGTTTGGATTCTGACAGCAATGCAGTACAATTTAAGGTATGATGACTAGAGTATGTTCCAAGCAGGTTCATCTTGTCTCACAGTATTTCAATAAAGATATCAAGATGTTGAGTGTAAAGGTGCATTAATTCCTGTGAATACCGCAGAAGTACAGGCACCGGTGAGTCAAACTGCAGTGGACACACAAGCGCATGCCATGTGCCTTCCTATCTCTCTCTACCCATCCCCACACAAGCCTATCTTTATCACGGCAGAGACAATTAAACAGCTCCAGACACTGAGCACATTTCTGTCTCCTGGCTCCCACTGAGTGAGTTATTATCAGCCTGGCATTTCCCAAATTCCCTCCTAGTGGGCTACATCAGTTAGGAAAGCAGGGACTTCACTGAGCCAGGACCCCATCACCCCATATGGGTCCTTAGGGATTTCAGCTCCGGAATGATACACAGCACCACCTAGCCATTGTGAAAGCTGGGAGAGTGGGAACAGCAGAAATAAAGTATCCAATTTCCCAAGGAAAACGCCCTGGCTGTGTGACACTGACCAAAAGAGTACCAAACATTTCTCAGCATGATCTTTTTCTTCTTTTCAAATATTCTCTTCCTTGCCCCCTCCCCTCACCCAGCTATCTTTCTATACACCCTTCCAGAGCTCTTTCTAAAAGAACCAACACAAAGACCACCCACAAGGACCCCGGTGCATAACTGTGGAAGGGGAAGGTCTAGTTGGACCTTGACATTCAGAGTTGTGGGGACAGGGAGAGGAATGGGGCCATTAAAGACCATTCTCCTTCAGGTCAGACAAGAGATAAACAATAGAAACTGCAGAGTCAGGATATCCAAGACCCTAAGAACCCATGCTAAAGAGAGAAGTGTCATCGGCGGAAGCTGCTTTCAAAAGCGGGGACGCTAGCAAGCCCAGAGGGTGTAACCATTATCCTCTTTCTCTGCCATGCGCCCCGAAGTGACATGCACACTTCCACATCCCGCGTCAAGAGGCCAGAGAAAGGGGAAGCGAGAATCCCTACACCAGCGTCATCCATGAGCAGGAGGAGAACAGAGACTGTACTCAGAGTTTCAGGGTCAGAATAACAAATGCTGTCCCACAGTCCTGGCTGGTGACAGCAAGTGAGGGCACCAACAGACTTCTGGGCTTCGGATGCAGTTTGAGGAGCGTGGATGCAATCACACTCGTACACACATACAGACACTCGCACACACGGCGTTTTACAAGCCCGCCCCTACCCTTCCCTCCACACTTCACACCAAGTGCATCCTGCCCACTTTACCGTTTTCATCATCACACTTTCTCCCCGAGAGCGTCAGCCAAGGTATGAGAGATCCTAGCGGGGATTCCTGGAAATGTCATCCTCCAGCACCTCAGGTCCGCCACCCCCATCCGCTTTGCCGTACCTTTTACACACACACTCCTGCCACGACTGTCGTCAGGCCCGCTGCCCCCCAAGCCCCGGTATCTCAGCGTGCATCTCCCTGGGCATCAGGCGTCTCTCTCTTCAACTCCGCCCTCCCCCGCCCCGCTGGCTCGGTGGCTAAGGCACTGCCTTCTGGATGTCGCCTGCTGTCCCCGCTCACCCGCACTATTGTTCCACGCAGCCCCTCTCTCGCCCGGCGGCGCCTTCGGCAAGGACCAGGGCTCCGTCAGGGGCGGCATCAGCACCAAGCACCCCTCCACCCACCCCACCCAGGCGGTGGTACCTTGCCTGACAGCTGGGTCCGCGGGCCCGTGGGAGCAGGCAGCGCTAATGACAGCGTTGGTGCCAAGCCTGGGAATAAAGCTCCGCTCCAGCCGCCCCTACCTCCATCGCCACCATCTTCTCCCGCTGCTGTCGCCGCCGCCGCCGGGACCGCGGCCGCCCTCGCCCAGCTCCGGCTCGGGCTCC